ATATATATATATATATATATATATATATATTAAAGGTGATCTCAGAATTGTACAGCATGTCACTCACAAAAATTGCAACTAAATGTACTGTAAAAGGCATTCAATGAGAGACGCCTGGGTTACTTCTGAATGAATGAAATAGTCCTCAGACTTTAATGCTTCAATTTGAGGTGCAGTGCACTCAGCAGTTTATCAAACAATATTGTTCTGTATTTTGCCATTCAAATGAATTTCAAGACAGAAAATGCAAGATGCAGTGAGGTTTCCTACTTGCATATTAATATTCTTGCTAAGTGACCCAAAAATTGGAAACGCGTGATCTGAAAACATAGATGCTTCAAGGCCTAATTGTAACCGTTCTTTAAATCCTCTCACTTGTGTGCAATTTCAGATCCTTGTGTCCCTTTTTTTATAGCATGGAAGAATTGATTATATGAATATATAGAAAACAATATAAATTATTCTTAAATGCCATTAGTGCACATCTCAGCACAGCGCTGTGTAGCAACTATCTTGGTCCTGGGAGAGACCACCTCCTGTTTCCATGGAAACTTCGACAGGGCAGACAGAACAGTGATTCGCAAAAGCTCAACAAGATGTTCTGTAGCATGTATTTGGGGACAAGACAGATAATGAGCACCACCTAAGACAGGAAATATCTTTTGTTTGACCCGCCATTAATAAAAGTCAGAATATTTCATTTTAAAATACAACTTTGACTTCATGACACTCAATGCTATGCAGGGATGGAGAAAGTGTGAGAGAAAAAAAAAAGAATGCAGAATTCTCACCCAAAGTTATGTATAATTGTGCACATTGTAGCCCTACTCTGGACCAAAACCCAGTTTTGCTTTAGGCTACAATGAATTCTCAATTGCAGCTTTTGAGATGGGGAGTAGAAACTGACAACGAGTACATCTAATTTACAGCCTGACATTGCAAGGGCTTGGCTCGATGGACATACTAATAAAATGCTGTCTAGATAATCAAATCAAAAGGGAATTCAACAGCAAAACTGAGCTCAGGGGACACGTCAGAAGAGGGGTCAAAAATATATTGAGGCAAACATGACTGGAAGTCTGACGTATGGAGAATGGTAGAAGACCTATTTTAAGAGAAGCAAACAGCAAAGCCAAGTTGGGATTAAACGTTTAAAAGCATCCAGAAAAAAAAAACAATCAGTGAACCCGACCCGGAAATTTACATGAAAGGTTCATAAAATGTGATCTGATTTTCAGCCTAATCACAACAATAGACACACAGAGTCCGCTTAAACACAAAAACATTTGACATATTGGATTCCCAATGTAAACATTCACAGTGCAGGGCTGAAAAATATTTGCCAGATCACATTTTATGACCAATGAACGCAAATGCTAAGTCGGTAATTCCAAAGGGACATGCATGTTGTTGCAACCACAATGTATGTCTTCCATTTTCATTGAGTAATTATATTTCATACCATTTAACATTTTTATAAATAAAATATCCAAAAAGGGTTTCTTAGCTTTTACTTAGACTTTACCTTGCTTTGGTTCTTTCTAAATAGTTTTATTGTGCCAATATTTTTGAAGACATGGATAGCTTCATGAAGGGTTGCCCATTTGAAGTGGTCTTACCAGATCTTCCGTCTCGTTGGAAGTCCACGTGGTACCACTCGCCATCATTGACCTTCTTGTTGACTGCCTTGGTCTTTGTAGTCCCTGAGCCCATGTCGAGCAGCAGATACAGGTGGCCATCCAGCATCTCAATGGCAAAGAAGTCCACTTTGAGGATCTGGGGACTTTTAGAATCCTTCTGCTGCTGCTTTGGCTTGCCATGGCTGAAGAGGAGGAGCCCGTTTGGCTCTGTGGTACGGAAGTCAAATGAGATGGAGCCTGTCTTCTTCGCATTCCACTTGTTGAGGACGATGAAAGACTCGGGTGTCTCAAAAGTAATGGGGTCCAAAGTGGCCACATTCTCACACTTGAAGGCCACAGTACCATGTAGCTTCATCTTGGGATCTCCCTGCTTGGCCAGCCTTGATAGCTCAAGTCTTACATCATTGTTTTTATACACAACCTGATGAGAAAGAGGAAAAAGAGAAAATGTAGCTTGGCAAATGAATTCATTTTTAAAAATATAGGTACATTTTTGTAAATACACTGTGGGTTTACAACTTACAGGTTGGTATAACTGAGAGTTTCAGTAATGAGAATCAGGAAAACTGCCTTGCGACATTTTTTTGTTTTGTTTGTTTACCGCCTCTTTGTTCTCTGTATCAAAAAAAGATCTGATGTTGCCTACACGGAGTCTAAGTGAGAAGTCTGCAGAACTATGCACTCTTTAAAGGGTTACCGAGTCCCCTTAGCAGGGTTTAAGGGATGTTCTGTGGAGTAAAGTTGGACCCACTGGCTGATTGCTTTGCCTGTCAGAGAAGTTCCAGAACTGATGTAACAAAAACTATTACAATAGGTTTCAAATCCAAACTACAAGTGTTCTTTTTCCAAGTAATCCCCTGAGAATCAAAGACAATTTTCCAACTTTCTCTGCCAAAGACATGTGTACTCCTGGAAGCATGGCCTGTAAATATTCTCATTCATCCAGGTCATTGTATACTCAAGGAACTGAACCCATCATAACTGGGCTATTGATTTTGATTTTGAAAGGCAACCAGGAAAGTCCAGTAGTTTTTTTTTTATGAGGTTATATAGGTTTTATTTTTTATTTTTCCATAGCTTGCCTTGCTCTAACAAGGAGCTGAATAACAAAATTCACAAGGAGTCTTTATTCCATCGATCGACTAATACGTTCCCCTGTGCAATTACATTTTTTTTAACAGTGCTCACATTCTGGCATCATGAGACCAAGAATACACCCAACAATAGATCGACACTACTGGCCTGTGCAAGGTGTCAAAAGAGATGATCTCAGAGGGCACTTGCCACTAATCGTAGAGTGTCACAGTGTACTGTCAGCATGTTGCAACAGAGATAGACTGGAAACATCACAGAATGGCATAAAACTGGACATTCTCGGAAATGTCTTTGTCAAACACCTTTTGTGAATTTTGCCTTTCAGCTAGCTTCTTGTCACAGGACATCAAGTTGTTCAAAAAATACTGAAGCCCTGTTCAGCTGGATGTGAGCATTAAAAAGTTTAGGGAAGGACAAATTCAGTTCACCTCGAGGTTGACCTTGTAAATTCAGACAAACACAGAGTATCTCAGTTACAAAAGTATTGAGAGTAGTGTCGTGTTCATGAACTTCATTTCACAACCGTAAAGAAACACCCACTCCTGCCCCACTTAACCGTTGTGTCATGTGTCATTTTGTTTAGTTTATAAGTGGTGTGTGTCAGTTCATAAACAGGTAAGCTGGCAGAAGCTAACGCATGCCCTGAATGAAAATCAACAATCTATGGATGACAACGTCTCTGCTAGACAAATAGCAGCTACACTGTGTCAAGAGGGGGCACTGCGAGGACCACTTTGCCGAAAGAAAAGTGCTGCTGTAATGGGGCTTAAACAAATTAGACACAGCAATAACCACATTATTATCCAATCTGCATAATGACAGCATCGCTAGAGTAAGAGTAGCAGTAATGACAGGGTTCCTTTGAACAGTCCAATAATGCATTTTATAATGAGACATTTACTGGCTAATTTTAGGGAATGATTTTTCGATAAAAAATGACTGGGGTGATTCTAAATAGGCATCATTTGGGAATTAAAACAACTTTAGCAAGGTGAATGTGACTCGAGTATTTCGATGAGGCCCAGTGAAACAAATACTAGCCACATAGAACACTGAAAGTAATCTAATAGCTAGTGCTATGCGGTAGGGGGTGGAAAAAAAAAACACATTCACCAAAAGTGGAACAGGCCAAGCATGCAAGTAAATTAATTCCCCCACAACATTATAGAAGACTTCTATTTATATTATTTAAGATAATATTTGACCTGATTCATATGCACTGCATTGTCACAAAACGACTACTTTTGCTACATATATGCACGTAAGAGTTACAGCTGTGGAAAGCACTGCATCTTGTTTGGTGACAATTACAGCACAAGGATACACTGTACTAGACAACGAGGACACTTCAGATGGGATGATTGTATGTGCATGGAATATTGTGATTATTACGGAGCAATGGCTATTGTCTAACTGCAATACGAGATGCGATGTGACCTACAATGTGACTGATATGATGAATGGAACTACTATACACAAGAATCAAGACACTATGTCTATTCCAGCATGAGCCTTTTACTATTACAATAGTGGGTTCTGCTTGTATTAGTAATGCCTTTTACACATCCTGTAAAAGCTTTCCATGCTGTTGTTTGGTATAATCATCAATGACATGTCATGGGAAGACAGAGTTGACCCTGCAATTTTCCAGCTTTGAAGACTGTACAGTACTCATCCTTTTATGCATTTTTTTTGTTGCAATTAGTAACTGTCGAAAGAGCAGGTAATAGCTGGGCTTTGTGAAATCAAACTGATAGCCCTAATTTAGGGTGGGGTCGCGGGTGAGGTTTCAAGAGTAAATCGGAGCGGTGGTGAGTGTGCGTGTGTATGTGCTTACGTATTTAAAATCCATGCTTCAGTTATCCGAACCGCTTACCCTCACAAGGGTCCCGGGCATGCTGGAGCCTATCTCAGCTGTTTTCCTGTAGCATGGCGGGGTACGCTGAATTTGTTACCAGCCAATCACAGGGCACACAAAGACAAACAACAACCATTCACATTCCCAGTTCCACTTAGGAACAAAATAGAGTGTTCAATTAACCACGTTTGTTTTTGGAAAGTGAGAGGAAAACCAGAGTACCTGGAGAAAACCCACACAGACACGGGGAGTACATGCAAACTCTACAATGGCAGGCCACAGCCTGGATTTGAATCCTGGACCGCTGTACTGCGAGGCAGACATGCTAACGAGGCATCCATCTTGCAGCTATACTGAAAATGCCTGTTAGAAAATTGGAAATGCATGGTCGCAAGCAGTCACCATGTATGATGATTTTGACCAGGTATCCTAACAATTATCCATGATACTGGGTCTAACGTAATGTGTTCAACCAAAATTTTCACACTGATTTGAGCAAACTGGCTTGCATTTTGGATTGAGAAACGTCCTCCCATCAACAAAATTGAAAGAGGAGATATAATTTGGGCTCATAGAGCTCAACCAAGGACAAACACAATTTTAATATCATCAAATTAAAACAGCAGATTCTTTCCACAACGAATGGATGTGGACCTCAGATGACAATGAGTCTGATTTTACCGACAAGGATGTGGTGGTAGATTTTTAGTTATGGTAATATACAGGGAACAGTCAACAAACCCAAACATTACTTGCTTGAAGTGAAGGGCACCTATCAATGCAATAGAGCAGCACTAATTTGTCATCAAGGTAGATCGGTGACAATCAAGTGTTTGTTTTACTAATAGCAGTATTGCCATGGAAACTACAATATAACATTTAATCAACTCACTTGTGAGCAATACATCAAACAGTCATTGTACATGCCGGTTCATTAAGTAGGTATCTCACTGAGCGGCGGAGGTTTGCAAGTATGCGCGCATGTAGAGAATTTTTCTTGTGAGGGTTCGTTCAATGCTGCAATTTTGGCCTTTAAAGGTCACATGCTAATACTGAATCTGATTAGCTTCGGGATGTTTTATGTTATGCTTTAAAATATGTCAGCTTTGTTGTTATGCAAAATATGAAATTAATGGGACTGAAGAGGAATCATCATGTTAGCTTCTATCATACAAAGTAACAAAATCTACCACCTATATTGTAGGCCGCTACTCACTCTACAAGAGTGAGTAGTGCATTTCCATGTATTCTCTAAGGAATTGTATCGCATATTAGTGCATTCCGTCAGTACTGACAGAAGGTACATCAATCCGTTACTGATGGATGCCCATTTCGCTGATGATTGACAAATGACGGGAAACTTGAAAAAAAAAAAAAACGATGGACTAAGGACTGACGGAGGTGGGTTTTCATCATAAGTGTAATCGTCACGTACTGGGTCAAAAGTACCAAGGGATGTCTGAGTCTGTCACTGATGGACGCCCATTTTACTCACGACTGAAAAAAAAACATGCCCCGCTTGTCTTATGTGTTTGTTCGCTAGGCTGAATAGACTCCTTTCTGTTCTACGTCATCGAAGGTTGTGCACTGTTGCAAAAAAAAAAAAAAAAAGGGGACGCATGATGTGTCGATGTGAATAGATATTTTTAGTATGGCCTTGTTATAGTTTTTGAATAGTTTCAAATAACAACCTGCCTAGATATTGCATGTACGGGTGTGTAAGTGGAAAATAGTTCACGTTTTTCTCAATTTCAAGAGAAAACAGGCCATTTCAAAAACGACAGAGGAACCTGTGGCTGTAAACTATCGAACACAGACCGGAACGATGACATTATCGTGTTTACTGTGGTCATATCAGGTAAGTTATTGTGGTTTAACTTAACTTCAACGTGAAAAGTGACAACGAGGATGTCTAACTGATCCAGCTACGATAAGCTTTAGTGGATAAGCTCCATGTAACTTGAGCTTTTAATTTGTTCTTATTATTGTTTGTGATTTTTATCATAGCCCATTTTCCTTGGGCATCCTAAAACGCCTCAACAACAAATTTGCTGACGCAAACACGATTAAAATAACATGACGAACTAACCGACTGACGATTGCATTTTGGCTCAGCTTGAAAAAAAAGACAAATGACGGACGGGTGCAAAGGACGAAAGACGAATGAAGGACCGATGACGAATGAATTTTGAAAATTTCCCACTTGTGACAATAATAATTAAAAGGATATATGGATGGATCATTCTCTTAAAAGTTTTTCTAGGCATGTACCTTTATGTATCCCTGAAGTATTCTCAAATAAAATGCATTAGGTCAAAAACTCTGTGAAGCAAAGTATTAAAATGACAGCTGCAGTTAAAAATAAAGAACATACACTGTCAACCTTATGGAAAAAAAGAATAATTCTTCTTCTCCCTTGATTAGTCGAATCAGCTAATTATAGTTATCTGAATAAAAAACATCTTTGTGTCTCAACAAATGACAAGTCTGATTTAAACGGATCAATCTCATGGTTGCTATGAATATCGAATGATAAACAATGGGTCACAATGAGATTGTTAAATGTAACTTTTTTAGTGTTAACATTTTTAACTACCGGTACTTAGCATTGGCTGATGACCAGTCCAAAGGGTACCCCCACCCCTCACCTAAAGTATGCAGGAATAGCCTTCAGTTCTGCTACGACCATCATAAGTGTTATAGAAAATGGATAGGCATTTTTAACTGGAGCATGTGTTAAAAAAAAAAAAAAAAAAAAAAGCATAACACCATTGAAGTGTGAGTACTGATCCTTTCAAATGGAGCCCTTTGCGCCTGTCGGGCATGTAGGACATTGAGAAACGTCCTCAGCTCAAGCTAGTGGAGGCAAAATAAAGCTTGTGTGCGTGTATGTGCATATTTGTATGCATGTGAGGACAACAAAAAGCCTCCACAATATGGAAGTATGGTTTGTTGAGTCCTTAAGTGATATCCTGACTCCTAAATAACTTCAAATTGCAGCCAAAAGTGGTATTTACCTCTTTGAGGCAGCCCATGAAGTTGTTGCTAACTGGAGATCCAGGCAGGTCCGCTGTGCTCGGACTCCCTCCAACGTAGAAAAAATCATCGGAGCCAAGCATGGTGTAGTCCTCTTGCGTATATCCCGTAGTCGTCAGAATTCCGTCAACAGATATTGTTACCTAGACAACAAAGCACAGCGAAAAGAAATACTATACTCAGCCTACATTAGGTGCAACTACCTTTCTTCCTTCCCGTCTGAGATGAGTTTTCCTCTACTTTTCCAGAAACCCATTTTCATGTCTGTTCATGTCTTTTTTCTTGTACTGTTATTTTGTCCAAATGATTAGTTGGAGGACCCCATGCCCCCAAAAGAAGTGCTGTTTTAAAGAGTTAGTGAACTGTCCAGGATACAGTGTTAGTATTGCCCCGAATGCAACGTAAAATTATTTAGCAGACACAAAAATGGTGTTAGTAGAATGTTAACTGGGCTAGTTTAACTCAAATATTAGTACGCCTAACTGTTCTAAAAAGAAGTCAGATGGTAGTGATGGAGTACATGCTTTGTAAGGCGCAATTAGTGTTTGAAGAATGGCCAAAGACAAAAAATAAGCATGCGCGTCACTCTTTTCTTTTTGATAATTTTCATACAAAAAGAAAGTGACTGGGTTACGAACATCGGTAACACTTGCCAGTGCATTAGATGCATGCAAAAACTTATGGACACTGCCAAACCACAACAAGGCATGAGAAAGCACCAGAGAAGACAACCACAGCTCAACCGTCACATTCATGTTGACAAATGGCTTATGCGTCGCAACATGAAGTAAAAATGCATGCCATGCCAAATGAGTGAGGAGCCAAAGGAAGGCCAGCCAGACGGCGAAGAGCCCCTAACATTTAATCTATTCAAATTGAGGCTCTTAAATGAGTGTCTCAAACAAAATTGGACAGGAAACAAGTACAAAGCAAATACAATTAGGAGGATACAAATGATGAAAAAAAAAAAAAAATCAAAATGTCAAACAAATCTGAAAAGTAACCAGAAGAGTACCAACCGCTAATTCCCTGTTTTTATAAATGACGTCTACGGTTCCAAAAAAAAAAAAAATGAAAGAAAAAAAAAAGGGAAAAAGAAACACACGGCAAACCCAAACTAAGAAACAATTAGTATATCTACCGAACAATGTAGTTTGTTTACCATAGCGTGTCCAATGCCTGAGTGCTTTGTGGAAAAGGGGGGAGAAAGGAAATTAAAAACTGTGAACAGAATAACGATTGTTACTCAAATCATATATGATGGTCAATACTGTTAGTACATTGTTAAAACGGCAAAGACCATACTGGTTAGTAGAATGACACATTCCATGGATGATGTTAGTTTGTTTTGAAAGCATGTTAGTAACAGAGAGGAAGTAGGGCAAAATAAGTTTAACAAGAAAAAAGCAGACCTAGACCTACATTGTTAAAAAAATAAAGTTCTCAACGAGGTTTAAGATCTCAGCCAATGAAGTTCTACATGGCTTGTGTTGACATTCAGTTGACATTTCTTATCAAGTCTTTGTCAAATGTCATATCTTATTGGTGGTAATATGTGTTTTGTTTGTGTCCTGAGAGTTAGTTTTGGGGACTGTGTCTCAGGCTTCCCCTAGAAGACTCACGCACAACTGGACCTCTTCTCTGTTTTATTGACTTCAATTTACTTTGTAGAACCACTTGACTGCAGAGGGAGAAAGAAAGAAGACGCTGCGACAGCCTGAGGTGATTCAGTGTGATTTTTTTGTTTTTTTCCAGATAATGCGTGAATTGATTTGATTCAAGGAACAGTTCCCCCTCCAAAAATTTCAGCGCCAACGTATTGGATTGACAAAGACAGTTAGGGCAGTTTACAGTATTCTGATTATGTTCTTCTGTCTGATGAAGGGTTTTGCCTGGAAGTAAGCTCCTCAGCCATGTGGTATAAAGTTTATCTTTCGCATCCTGCTGACCGCATGAGAACATTTACCTTCCTATGAAAGACTAATAAATCTGCCTAATACATGAGAAGGAATGCAACTTTTGTACAAAGTACCTGCAATACACTTGGGATATACCTGACACACTAACATTTCAATCTTTTGTCGTCATACAATATTTTTTGATTAGTTCGCATACTTGAGTTTGATTGATTTTCATACCATTTAAAGCATCAGTGAAATTTGCAATAAAGTCTCCAAGTCCGCTCCTCAGGGTCCCCTATCGAGCAAGTGTCCCTGCTCCAACACACTTGATTCAAAGGGGCAGCTCATAAACAAGCTTTGCACAAGCCTAGTAACAATCACTCATTTGAATAATGTGTTGGAGCAAGGGAAATATCACAAACAGAATGCAATATCGAAAATAGGCTCCCGAGGACTGGACTTGGAGATCCCTGGTCTAAAATGTATTCCTTAGAGTAATAAAAAACAAACAAACCCAAAAAAGACAACATAAAATAAAACAGACCTCCTGCTTTCCCAGCTAACAAGTGTTACACTGTAAGTTGGCATTCCAATACAGTGCTGCCTGGAGATACAAACTTGATCCATTCCATGAGGATGCTCGCAACTCAAGACATTGTATCTCAAATCACCATTCCCCATTGAAATGAATGGAAATGCTATTAATCTATTTCAGTCTCCCCCACCAAAAGGTGTGTTTGTCAGGAAAATAACACTCGATATTGTTGCGCTTGATAAAACCAATGTAATGACTCAATTAAAAAGTATGAAAAGAATCAGTTTGTGAGTTAGTGCTTCAATTGCATTCATTTTCCGCCTGTTGTCTGAAGACAGCTCGGATAAGCTACAGCACGCCTGCGACCCTCGTGAGGAGAAGCAAGTCGGATCAAGGATGGATGGGTGCTGATCCTTCTGTTGTGCCTGTCTTAGCCACAAGGGGCAGTAAAACGTAGTCATACAGACACAAGCAAATAAAAGTCACTCATTATTATTCTTAGAGACTCACTACGAAGCCATCATGTTTGTTTTTGGCAGATGAAACTGAATGTGAGCCTTTGAGTATTCGGATACTGTCTGTTTACATGTGCTGCTCCACATTTGTTTTCAAATATCCCTTGTTAAAGGGTTGTAACACCATAAATGTTGATGCCATCCAGTAGCCTGTCAATGAAATTTCTTCATTATGTGTTAGGCATTAAACTAGTGGGGTATTCTTAAGGCAACATTCAGTGATTGTTTTTAAAATGAAGCTTGTAATTCTCTTTGATTATATTTAGTTTGACAGTACATCTCAACCAGGAGTGGCAAATAGCTTGATGCTTCTTTTTTGAAGAATAGCTCACTATCTGACATATTGCTGCTTATTATAAAGGAAGTTGAGTTGGATTCATGAACACCTACAGTGCTGAACTCTCAAGTGTGTGTTTGCAAGTCAAATCAAAAAATAAATAAATAAATCTGCCAAATAACGGCTCACATTCTCTTAATACTAAGTTTAAGTTAAGTCGGGTCATTCGTATTTCAAGGCACCACTGTATATCATGTCTTTGTATTGTTCATATATGTTTATAAGAGATGCATAGTATACTAATTACAGTAAGTGAGTGGAAAAAGTTGACTTGCTATGAAAAAAAAATCTGTTGTTTCTTCCACTGATCCGCTTTCTCACCCAATTCATTAAATCATTAAACATCAAAGGTCAGCAATCACTTATAATAACCATGAAGTCATATTTTGCAGTTAATTTCATTCAAACATGACATGACAAAGCTGGAACCCATCACGCTTGTCAAAAATCAAAAGCAATTTTCATCTTCACGCTTTCAAATTGTTGTTTTCTGCTTTATATCTCGACCTGACATTGGCAAAGTTTTGATTTTGCAATCTAATTAAAGCGTCTGGGAAAATTATACCGTACGAAACAGTATGATGGTAATGATTTAAGTGAATGTTGTAATTCATTTAGGTATCTTGTTCATCCTCTGTACTGTTACCTGACGTAGATTCCTTGTTACTTTGACATCATGCCAATCATTGTCATTAAATTTCCCATTGACTGGCTCCACCAGAGCTTCAAAGGCTCCAGACCCCAAATTAATGACGAGAGACACGGCTCCATTTTTCAATGCCAGGTTGACGTAGTCGGCCGATTTGCCGGTGTGCAGCATCAGTCCATTCCTCTGGAGGGTTTTGAATGACAATGTGATTTCATCGCTGCTGCTTTGAATTGGGTTCAAGGACAAGTCGTAACAGAAGAACTCAGATCCTTTGAAGGTTGCAACATACTCTTCTTTCCCTGCAGAGACCAAGAGAGAAAATGTGTTGAATTAATAACGTGCCCGAGTGGGTGCCTATTGGAATGCTGTCAGAAAGGAAAAAGAATGAGAGAGAGAAAAAAAAAACATCTCAGAGTAGTTTGATTAATAATCAACATAAAGATTCGACAGATACCTACCACGGCCCAGGACCACAGGTGAGTATGGTACTGCATTTTGTGACTCAAAATTACATGCTGAGTGGAAATGCATTTATATTTAATAAATACGTCATAAAAGAGGATTTCTTCAATTGTGTTCAATTGTGTCTCTTTGTTTCATTTGGTTCTTTTTTTATACGCTCCCCCAGTTAGCAAGTTTAGTGACGACATAAGGAGCCACTGAGCATTCTACATTGTCCTCAAGGACACCGACAGGTCTCAAGTGAACCAAAGGAGTCAAAGCGACAGCCCCCCTGTTACAAGACACCCACTTGACTCACTCATCCATGCTGCCTATAAAAAAGAGGGAAAGTGCAATTGTAATCCCCATCCTGAAAAGTGAGCATTTCAGGGAAAATGAAAAGGTCCTTCTGTGAAATGGATGCACTTTGTTTCATGATCATCAAAACTGAGCAGTGGGAAAACGGCTGCTGTCTCCATACCAAACATGACAATGCTACGCTATGTAATGTTTTGCAGAGACTCAATGCCATCAACCAGATTGACAGTGCACAGAGCATATGAGCTACTGCATTGAAACGACTGACGGAACAGAAAGAAAAAAACGGATACAGGTACGACAGTGCACAGAGCATATGAGCTACTGCATTGAAACGACTGACGGAACAGAAAGAAAAAAACGGATACAGGTACGACAGTGCACAGAGCATATGAGCTACTGCATTGAAACGACTGACGGAACAGAAAGAAAAAAACGGATACAGGTACTCTCAGAAAAAAAATAAGAACCCAAATGGACTCTCCGTCCTGCTCTGTAATGCAGCAGTTATATTAGCTTACAGAGAAGACAAAAATCATATCAACAAAAGGATATCGGCCAACGGCTGCCCTTCCTGGACACTACACAGTACACCTCGCTGTTTAAACAGTGCTAGAAAAATTCTTCGGGACAGTTTACACCCAGACTATCACCTGTTCAACCTGCTTCCTTCCAGACGGTGCTACAGGTGTGTCATCACCAAAACAAAGAACCGCTTTTATCCCAAAGCCATTACCTTCCTGAATGTAAATATGAAATGACAGGCCATAGCTAGCCCCATTTGCACTGACACTTTATTCATATGCATAGCAAGGACCATACTGTACCTATAAAACACACAGCCATATGTCGGCACTAACTGGTCATTATCATTGTTTGTTGTGTGTCTTGTTTCTATGTCGTTGCATTTATCTTTTAATCTTGTTGTGTTGCTGTGCAATGACAAAAAGATTATGATTCTGATTTGACAGTGCATTCGGAAAGTACGCCATTGTTTCAGTATTTTGTTATGTTATAGACTTATTGCCAAATACATTTAAATGATTTAAAAAAAAAATTCTAAACTCAGCAAGACATCCATCATACTTTGGAACTAAATGACACTGTGTCTAACAGCACTTGGAATGTGTAATCTCGCACCCATCCACTCATGCTGACTCATTCAGTCAGATATCTGCATACAGTACATCTAACAGAGCGCGCAGTTACATCCAATTCCCAATTGTTGTAACTGAAGGAGTGAATTACACTATTATGGTACAGATCCTGGGCGGCACGGTGGTCAATTGGTTAGCACGTCGCCCCCACAGTGCAGAGGTGCAGGGTTCGATTCTGGCACTGGCCCTCCTGTGTGGAGTTTGCATATTCTTCCCTGTGTGGATTTTCTCCAGGTACTCCAGTTTCCTCCCACATTCCAAAAACAAGCATGGCAGGTCAACGGAACACTCTACCTTGTCCCTAGGTTTGTAATGGAGACTCGTAAATAGTCAAACAAATGTTGCGTTATATTGTGTATTTCTACAAATCAAGAATCAGACAATGCAGAGATGAAAAAAAGTATTACAATGACTTGTAGGAACAAGGAACTCATCAACATCTCAAAGATGGCGTGCATGTGAATAGCCGTTGCCAAGCATTTAAAAACTAGTTTAGACAGATAACAAGCTATTAAAACCACGAGCAGAAAATAAGCCACAGCAATATAAATGGGTGAGCAGCGTTCAGGCATGCTACAACAGCGTAACAAATAAAAAGGGGTTGCTGTCCACAACAATTTGTCACCTCATTGATTCACCCTTAAAGGCCCTATACAGCGCCTCTGGGAGAACTACATGAGGCCGTAATTGAAGTTGACTGGAGTTTTTTTTTTTTTTTTTTTTTTTTAAACACCCCTCCATGTCTGTGAACCCTATCAGTGAGAATGAGAGACCCCTACTTCTGTTCACCAGGACAAGCTCAGGATGACATAACAAATAAGGCCACTGGTTGGCGGTCATTCTCATCCCTTGCCTTCTCATACATTGCAAAACCAGCAATTCACTGTTAATTCCCCAAAATAATGATGAATGAATTGTGAGTGTGGGGCGTGGAATAAGTACATGTGTGTTGATACACTTCTTTGTACAGGTATATGTGTGGATGTGCAGGGGGCATGGTGAGGAATTTGGGACTCATCCCATTAGTAGTTTTAGAATAGTGCTGGCAACCAATTATATGGTGTTGGGGTTGTTTTTATAAATATAGACTGTGGCAAAATATGACAAAATGTGTCTGTTCACTGATTGACACTTGGAAGCATTTCACCATCTTTCTGTCAAGTGTGACGCTAAACTTGCATTCAAGCTTCCATCTTCCAAAAACATAGTGAGTTTATTTTCGCTGAATGCATATAAAACCAATAGTATAATTAATCATAATAGAAATGTCAAAATGGGATGTCAGTTGTGTTTCATTTTAATCATTGTTAGCAAGATAACAATCCAGCACCAATGAGTCCAGTGGATTCGCAAAACTTATAAAAGTCTCCATTCAAATAACACATCACTGTTGTCAGGCGAAAACTTCACATAGCCCAAAGAAAATGTAAAAAAATATCGCACTCTTCAGGAAACCTATAAATGTGTTGAATTGTGAACATTGCATCATCAAAGCGTGCAAGCTATTTTCAAAACATTATATCAGACAATAATTTGTTGAAAAAAAAAAAACGGGGTACTTGATTGTGGAAAAAATATGTTTCAGCATGTGACGACCCCCCATGTCTAACCATCGGTAAGTTCTGGGGCATGACAGCGCATCTGTGACAACTTTTCACCGCATGATGGCCGCACTCCCCACCTTTGACGATGATTTTTTTGGCAAATGACTCTTCAAAAAAAATCACACTAGCAGAGCACAGAATTTACTTCATTACGCTTGAAAATTGGCAAGTATTAAGTGACAAAAATAATAATCCCCAATCCAAATTCTAATAAACTGCATTAGCGTAAATTGACTTATTCTATCAGAGGTGCCAGTGAAAACAATAAACTGAATGTGTCAAAAAGTAGGAAAGCAAAGATAAAAAGTTGTTGAAGCAAACTGAACTTTAAAGCCTGAGTTTAATGCCATACATCAGGCAAAATAGCATCAACAATCATCAGTCAACACACAGCTGGACTTACAGCCTGCCGCAAACATCCTGCATTCTAAAATAGGATCATGTCAAATCAGTGTCGTTTTTATGTTGACTAATCCACCTACGTCACAAGGTGAATTATGTTTGTAGAGTGTTATTTGACATTTGTGGCAATTATCCCTCTTACATATACCTGAGGCTGACTCCCACAAAATTTCTTGGAACTGTCGTGCTCCACTTTTAGGTATAGTTTGCAGAAAGGAAATGCAACCTTCACCGTTAACACTTGACTGTTGATGTGTCACAAAACTGTCGCATTTCTGCAGGGGGAAAAAAAATAGCTTTTTGAAGGCTGTTGTTTCGTCGCTGTGTTCTTCTGTGTCTTTGGGTGTGTCCCGTGGTCTTGAGTCAATCAAAGCCCTGCAAGCTGCCGGCACCTTCTTGCCCTTGAGTCATGACACCAACTGGGAACAGGGATAAAAGCTAGCGCCTTTAGTCTTTTTCCAGACAAGAGAGGACAAAAAAAAGACTAGAACAGAGTGAAAATGTGCTCCCAAGCGAGGCCATAAATAGATTGAGACTTGAAATTGGGAAGGAGTTGTTTTGAGTCATTAGCAACAGATCTTTAACACCCACCGAGTTATATAAAAGTGTAGTATACTTTTTGACACCATTCATTTCGTACCGCACTGTTCTAGCAGGTGAAATATGTATTGATGAATCAGCAATACGTAATTGCTTCCACAATTGTGGATCTCTCATCACATTGCATTTGCGGTTGCAGTGCAGAGCAAGCTGGCAATATTGATGCCAGTGATACAGTTATTCACCACTCCAATTAAATCAGTGCCACAGAGACTATGCAAAATTATGCCACTCACGACACAAAAAGATATAGAAATGCCGTTATACATATGGGTGCATGAATACCGAGAAAGTAACGTTTCAATAACCGTTAAACAAAACTGACAGTTTAGAAGACAAACTGTTGTTGTATTGTAAAGCGGGGCAACAAGCAGGACTCTCGGATGTCTACGACAGTGCAGCCAGGAGACTCCTCATCAGTCACTTTGGTCTGACACTAATCTGGCATCTGCTGCTCTATGGCTGATTTTAAATTAGCTTGCACCCAGGGGAGCACACTGCCCGTCAACATCAAATCAGAACACCGTGACTCTAAAACAGACTTGGCAGGGGATTAGAAAATGAACGTTAGTGTAAAGGCCTTGACTTTAATTGTCTTCATTCTGTTATTGTCTTTACTGTATAATTTGAAATAAAATCTTAAATAATAATGACGGGAATGCATCATCATCTCGTAGCTTCAATACATGCACACCTGCAGGTCAAATTTGTCTCCACTCTAATGTAATCCAACGTCAGAACTGTAACAAAAAAATCAGACATTGCAAAAGACAAGAA